ATATAGGGGACCTAATTCATACATGTTCCCCATATAGGGGGCCCAATTCATACATGTTCCTCATTACAGGTGACCCAATTGTTCCCCATATATAATGAGTGCACTCATAAGGTGGCCCATACATTGTATATACATCACTAGGTTAGTACATAGTCTTGGTTACATACATGTATAGGTTAAAGTACATGTACATGCATTATGACAGGGTGTTATGTTTTGTTTCCAGCATCTAAACGTCAAATCCTCCTGGACTCTTTCTTGATGGATTAAGGTAACCAGCAATAGATTCTATTACCTCATAAATTACTGCTTTCATTCTAGGGTGGGCAGCAGTATAGTGCTACCTCCCCGTGGTGCTGCCTGTGGTCACTAGTGTCTGATACTGCTAGTGATGCTAAAAGCACTATGAGAAGACAAGAGAGCTACATGTGATGAGCTTTTATTAGATGATACATTGCTGTACTTAAATCACACGTACATGTATTTGTTGTCATGTACATATACTTAAGAGATTTGATCTCTTTATTGTTCACCCTTTTATTGATGTCATGTCCTAAGTATCACGTTAAACTGTGGCCAAGTTTATCATTACTTATTCATAATTCACAAATTATTAACTATTATTTCATCAAATGAAAAATCTTTCTAAGCTAAATGTATAGCTACAGTATCATCAGTTAGTAATAAGTCTTTATTTTGTCAATCAAATTTGTCACATTTTGCAGCGTGCAACTCCAGATCAGTCTGAGTAGCAAAGTTACCCACACCACAAATAGGACACACTCCAGTGGGTTTACTTGAATCAACCCTCTCACCAGGTAAGGGAAAGTTTCCCCCATCACCACCATCAGGAGGCTAAAGGGAGAGAGAAAGCTTAAATAAAAGAGTGGCCCAATCATACATGTATATTCTCAGAGAAACTAGCGTTTTTTTGTAAAAAAGCAAAGGCTCCCAAATCATTTGAAATTTCCATTACATTTTCTGATACATATTGATGTACTTATGCTACGTAGAAAGTTTGAGCTAATTCCGACTTCAAATTTTCGAGTTATGGCCATTTTAAAACTTTTTGCTGCAACTCTACTGAACTACAAGTGGTTCTATTTCACTTACAAACTGTCTCCTTGGATCATATCCTCCTCCTCCTCCTCCTCCTCCTCTACCTGATCCTCCCCTAAGGAATAAATAAAATAATATAAATGCAAAGCCTAAAATTTAAGAGACTATAAATTTCGTCATTACATTAAAATTTGTGGACATCAATTTACTATGAT